CCCCCACCCGTATCTGCAGCACCAGTATTACATCCCCTTATTACAATCTAACTCAGTGCTTTTATCTCTAATTCTAATGGCAGATTACAGACATGGATGCTCCCCTTTCGACCCCCTGTAATATCCAGATTTGTGAGGTGACCTGTGACTCCTTCCGGATCATGTGGGATATGACCCCTGAGGACACGGCCAGAGCCACACACTTCTTCATCGACTTAAGCCGCAAGGCCAACAGGGACCCCAACCGCTTCAAACACAGGGTCTGATGATTCTGTAACTCCAGCATGACCTCACATACCTTTCCCCCACCTTCTCCCCGAAGGCAGCCCGCTCCGTATTGGTGTCATCTAGACTCATGCTCCAGATTCACACACAGTGCTCGTTTTCATCATTCGTTTACTGTGCGTCATTTCCTAATTAGCAGCGGGCAGCACGAACGAGGCAGGAAATCATTCGATTTTCATCGAAGTCTGCTGAGCAGATGACTGCCTTACACGTTGTTACTCGGAACACAGAAAACTGTGGTTGTGCCCTTTCAGTCACTTCCAATACAAGCGAAAAGGAAAATGTGTGCAGTCAACAGCTTCGGGCCAGTGACTCACTTGCACATTGTTTCTTTTATTATATATTTTTTTGAAAGTGGACAAAACCTGACAAATTTAGCTGCAGCATGGAGACGTTTTCATGTTAATTCCTTCCCGTGTGCATGGTTAAATTCATTAATTTAGAAGATTTCATGAAACGCAGATATAATGTGACAACAAATCTTTTTTTAGTTTTATCTTTAATGTTGGTCAGAGTCTATTAATCTTGAGCATAGGGAAGAGATGTGTAGCTACCAGCTACTTTCCATCTGCTCTCTCTGGGTCATATTAGATATATAAGATATATAAGCGATGATAGCGGCTCAGACCAACAGAACGGCTGGAACTCCTGTTGAACTTAGTTCCACTTTAAGTTAATCTAAACATTATTCCAGCTATGCAGCATTTTCAGTGTGAGCAAGATAAATTGCTGACTTGGATGAATTTTAGAAATACACTCATGCAGTGTGCAGTTCCACAGAAGCTGGTGAACTCCTTTGTGGTTACCAGAACCTCTATGTTACTCATACAGCCCGGTCTGATTTTCATTCAGCACTGACGTCCCAATTAAAGACAAACATAACATGACTCAACACAACAGCAGTTCATATCTGTACCTGAAGTGCCGAGTCACCTCTTACAGTGCAAGGCGGAAAAAGTTGTGAACTCTTCACTTCATGAACTTGTTTTATCTCCTTTACCAGCAAAAACTTCATCGCTCATTTCCTGTAGCTGCTTGTGAGGCCTTTGTGGACTCTGAGATTTCATGATTGTGCATCTTCTATTCAGGTCACAGTCACATCTCAAGTGGGCTAAAGTCATGATTTGGCCATTCTGAAACCTGCAGCTTTCCTGTGGTTCATTAACGTGCTGTTGATCATCATGTTGTTAAGTCCGCTCTCATATTGACTTCTGTCCTGAAATTCAAATGGAAATTTTCTTGGTCCGCTTTCAAATGAATATTTTTTCCCTCAGTCTCTGCAAGCTGACAGGCACTGTGGTAACAAAGCGGCCCCAAATGATGATGAACTTCTACCAGTACTTCCAGCACGTTTGACCCCAGATGGCTTTTAGAGAAGTCATTAGCACATAGGGTCACTTCTGTGCCCCCGCCAGCACTATGGCTATTACTCAGACATTAAAAATAAACTGTGTGATAATTAAACTTAAACTTAATGATGAAACCCTACTAACTCCAAAGACTTCAACAGCTATGGATTCCCTCTTCCCTGCTCCACACATCCAAAGCCACCACAAGCCTTATTCTCAATACATTTCAAAACGTATTTTTTCCTTCCAATCATTTTTAAAATTTTCTTCCCTTTTTTTCTCGTGTTCTTTTTAATAGTTATACTGATGGCATGCCTGTAGCCTGAAATAATGATAATGAAAAGAAACAGTTGCTATCTCCGCAGACGCAAAATGCCGACTGTAATTATGGCATATTATTGCAGCACGCATTCACAAACTGAAAAGTGCTTTTGTGAAGTCAAGGCAGGGGTAGTGCTGAGCGAGCTCTTCTTAGATGGAGGATATGATTTCTCTCTGATACACGAAGAGGCACAAACAAACTTGCATCAGAGATGTTGCTATGGATATATGGACCTCTGAGCCTGTAGTAATTAGCTGTGCTGCTTAGAGGCCTTGGTCAAAACGAAGCTGCTGTTTTGATTACATGTATCCTAGTTACAGCAGCTGGGGCTTAAAAATGGAATCTCACACTAATAAAGGCAAAGTTTATGGAAGGAAATGCTTGACTAACAATTGCATCTGCATCAGCTTTGAAATGTAAATGATGCATGCGGCAGACCGTTAAAGGCTTGCATCCTGTACCCTGGTGTCACCTGTTTCCTGCTTCATCCTGCAGGACGTGCCGACCAAGCTGGTGGCCAAAGCCGTGCCTCTCCCCATGGCAGTGAGGGGACACTGGTTCCTCAGCCCGCGGACAGAATACTGTGTTGCTGTTCAAACTGCTGTCCGACAGCCAGATGGTGATTACTTGGTCTCAGAGTGGAGCCAGGTGGTGGAGTTTTGCACCGGGGGTAAGACATGCACTTGTGTGTTGTGACTAAAATAACAGTGATTATGCATGCAGTCAAACATCAGAGATCTGACCAAAGTGATACAAGAGAGGAACAAAAAGTGCAGCGCACAAAAATGGCAAGACAACAACCCACAATTCTGTCTCAGCACCAGATAGTCATTAACATTTGAAAGTAGTGCAGACTTCAAGTAGTTTCACAGCTTCAAAACTTAAACTTTGCAGACTACGCCATGGAGCACCTACAGCAGCTTCTCGACAAGGCCAAGGGCTCAGCGGGCAGGCTGCTGAAATTCTCTGTCTTTTATCGCAACCAGCACCCAGACTACTTTGATTATGTCAGGTAGGCACTTCACTTTTTCTCTTTATTATACATTCCCATATGCACGAAGTGCAATAACTCATTTTCCTTTTCATGTATGGAATTAGAAAGGAGTGTGGAGGTCTGATGCGTCCAGCACTCAAAGACACCAGTGGGAGTCACGGCTCACCCATCAGCGGCAAACTGCATGGAGTCTTCTTCAGCTGCAACACAGAGTTTGATACAGGGCTCCCTCCCAAAGACTCCCCGTACGGACCCCTGCGGTTTCAGATCCCGGCTGGACACTTGCTGAACCCCAACATCTGCCTGTATTTTGCAGACTTCTACTGCATGTACACGGCCTACCACTATGTGGTGCTGGTGCTTGCCCCTGTTGGCTCAGAGGGAGATGCCTTCTGCCGCACCCGCCTCCCTATGCTGGACTTGGCTTCCAACCCCTTTTTGACTTACACTGCCTCTCAGAGACCCGGGGAGGAGCCCTTGTACTGCCACGCCAGCGACGTCATCCTCGAGGTGCTGTTCACCGAGCCGGTTCACTTGGATCAGGGCGGCGTGGAGCAGATCAGCGGGCACCAGCTTATGAGTCTGACCACCGCCAATGCCAAGAAAGACCCGAGCTGCAAAGTGTGCAACATCAGCGTGGGACGCTGAGGGAAGCGCTGGCGCAGAACTTGAAGTGTGCAAGTCTGCAGCCAAGACAGACGCTGTGATGCAAAAAGATGGTTGAGCCCATCATGTGTAGGTCAGAACACTGTGGAAAGAGTCACCTCTCAGGGTGCACTCGTGCTGCTTTCCCTCCTCCCTCCTGCCTGGACCAGATAGTGTATTTAAACTAGAAGACTTATAAAAGTGTGTATAGCATTACTCCATCCTAATCACAGCTGGAAATACAATGAACATCCATCCATGACAAAAAAATGCAGTGAAAACACAACAGGCTTAAGAAGACTGTTTTTTCTGGCATCATCATGGTGATGTCTTTTTTTTTGTTTTTGCCCATTTTCCCTTTGATGTGTTTTTTTCACAACTGACATTTTGACTTGTTGCAATATGGAAAATCAGGCAAAGTAATAGTCAAGGTGAGGTTTTTCTAATATGGACACTTGCTCACTTTCATAGCTTACTCAGCCATCATCAGTCCTCCTGCTCTTTCTCTGCTGTGACAAGTCAAAGCTGGTGTGACGGCATGTAAACTGTTTTTTTTTCCTGTGGAGATTATTTCAGCTTATTGTGATCACCTCTCAAACAACATACACTGCCATGTGTCTCCTACAAAATGAAGTCTAATCACTTATACTACACTGAAACATGAACGTTAGTTTCCAGCATCCTCACTGAATACTTTCCTGCTTCACTTTAAATGTAAGGTTATGACTAAGAAATTGTCATACTGCAGAACAGTAGGATACTTTGTAACAGTAAAAGCCATTAGGAGGAGGTTCAGTGTTTGAACATAAGAGAAAGGTAATGAGGAAGCTCTCAAAGCTCCCTGCAGTCGCTATTTGGCAGCTGTGCTAAGATTAGTGGTTACTGCTATTGGCCTCCTGTTTGTCCCTGCCCAGTAATCTCTGACCTAAATGGGAATCCCAGAAATGCCTAAAGTGAAAGGGATCCCCTCCCTGTCGCACAACAATAATTCATCCTGCGGTGACGGGCCAAAATGCAGGACGCGCCAGCAGAGCGTGGACAGTGTGTGTTGCTTAACGTGAAAGGAACTGACACCAAAACTGATCTGTTTTAAAGACATTTTTAAAATATAGAACTGTTACTAAGCAGTATAAACATGATCAAAAATAAAAGAAGTAACATTTCACAGAAAAACACAAAAATGTACACTAAACCTTCACCCAGGACTGATACAGTATAGACGAAGATGGGGAAAAAACAGGATCACTTCTAGGTTTAGTGAGTCATGGCCTTTCACTTAGATTCTTCCCATGGCACAGATGTGAGTTCACACTCACTGTAATGCTGTAATTCTGTCCATTGTTATTGTCCCAAAAAGGCTCGCTGTGCCCTCCTGGCAAATAACTTAAACAGAACTCAATCTTCCTTTTGGCATCTAGCACTTTAGGAATGGTAATGTCAAATTCAAAGATGTCCGTCTGAGGTCCTCCGAAGCGTTTCTGCAGGTACGTGCAGGGCACGTCTCTGTAGCTCTGCCACGAGTCAAAGGTGATGCGCACACGCACATCCTTCTGGTAGCTGACATTCCCAACTCTCACGGTACCCCGGAGGGTCTTCTCGCTGATACTGCAGTTCTCCAAGATGACCATGCTCTCTGCCAGCTTGGCACGAAAGGCCTGGAAATTTGCAGATGGCTGCAGGAAGCCCAGTTTGAGCCGTGTTCCTGGGCAGCAGGTGCTGACTGTGCAGCTGTAGCCATCCTCTGTCATGCTGCCTAAAGACTGCAGCGATGGCAGCAGGTCGAGGTCAGACTGCTCTTCTTTGTCGGAAAACACTCGCACGGCTGTTAGAGACAATCCCCGCGAGTCGGCAAAAACAACACGTTTGCTCTTGATTGGGAACAACACATCATCATCGCCGTCGTCCAAGTCATTGAGGAAAGGTGAGGAAGGATGGGGCGGGAAGACTTGGCTCAAGATGTCAGAGGATAAGTGCTCTGAAGCTGGAGGACGGATGCAGGATCGCTGGGGTTTCAGGATGGGAACCCAGACATGAGGACACAGTTGTTTACGCTGGTTCAAGCACAGCCTGACAGCAATCTCCAGCAGTCCGGCTGACCGAGCCATCGACCCAAAGCCAACCACTGGCAGGACACTAACAAGAAACACATGGGGACCTCAGTACTGACTGGAAATGTGAATATATCTTTGTATATATCGCAGTTGTGTCATTACATGTTTATGCAGGGCTTTTAAGGAAGGCATCACAACGTGAAAGTGATCTGATAAAAAATATTATGGTAATTTTAATTTAACCCCTAAAGACGTTGTGCAAGCTAATCTGCACAGTTTGTGTGTGTGTTGTGTCTGCTTACGATGTACTGGACATCTCCATGCTGGTATTCCTATGCTGAGTGATGGGAATATTGTCCTCAATGTTTGGAGTTCTGGAAAACAGAAAAAAATCTGTCACGATTACAACAAAATCTGTATTTAAAAAAGAAAAAAAGTTGCACACAAAGATTGGTGTGTGACAACATGCAACAATCTTTGTGTAATGTACTTACAATCTCCCATGAGTAGCGTGTTGCAGTTGTGTTGTCAGTTGTTCCCCACAGGAGAATCTGGCACAACACATTTATATCACCTCAGTTTAGATGTCATATTGTAAACTCCGCCCTCTTCGCTGTCCTGACCAATCAGCTTGTGACTTTGTTTCTCTTTATGTCTCCCTGTGGTACTGCATTTCAGTAGGTTTTATGTTTTCATAGGTTGCCATTACTTTGCATAAATAAATAATTAAATTATGGGAAAGAAACATATAAACACACCTAAATGTTAACCATGAATATTTATGTGAAGTTAAATATTTGTATCGTCACCTTGCACATTCATTGTCCAGTGTTGACGATCTGTGTTACGTACATAAAAGTCTTCTTTGTGTAATTCCACTCTGCATTATGGAAACTATCCAGGTTATCCTGCCCTTTATTCCCACACCTGTTAGTGGACACAGATCCCACAGAGGCCTGGGCATGGCTCCAAACCTTTGCTATCTAGCGCCTGCTCTAAAGGAATCACTGCCCCACGGTCCATCAGCACGAGCAAACCTGAGGGGGGCTGGATTACAAACAACTCTCAGCAGGCTGGTCACTTAGCCGAAGAAGCTATTCAGGAATCAGTCCATGTGCGTATGCGAGTATATCAAGTTCCACACATATCCACACATGGAAGACCTATCTTTACTGAGACTGTTGCCACCAAACTACAGGATATTTTTATGACTTTACAATTAGTGTGAAATGATATAAACTGTTACAAATGTCAAGATTTTACAAAGCCTAAAAAAATGGTGTAGTATTTAATAAATGCAATTCTTTCACAATCATTTTATTTTTTTCTCCAACTCACATTTCAAACTATCTTCGATGCCTGAGGGAATATTTACTTTATTTTCCAACATTTTAATAGGAATAATAACAGGCCCGTTCCCCACACTGTATGCTATCAGACATTAAATCAACTTGATTTGTTCCTGGTTTTACCAGGTCAAGGCACACACGATATGACAGCAATGTGATAATCAGAACATCAAGTAACATTTCTTCTCCAGGTCTTCTATGAATGCAGTTTAAGAGTTAGCAACACAGAGTAATCAAGACGATTGTCTAAGCCCACTCTTTCAATCCCTTATTAGTTCTAATTACTGGTGAATTTATGTGAAGGCAAACAATAAGCACTGATTGCTCCCGCTGAAACACTTACATAACAATGCTATCATAACATCTTTTAGGTTAAAGTTTAAAGCAAAGTCAAAAAGGAAACTTTCAACATGTGAAAAAGAGTAATGTCACGATGTACAACAGATACGTGAGCATGTCCTTAAATCACAGCAAACAAACCCTGATCTATAAAGAGGCATGCACATGTAGCATGAGCACAGGATGGAAGGCATTATGATGCCAAGTGAACTGATGAAATTTCACTGTCGGGTCATCTGATGCATCCGGTTATGGAGCAGCTGAGAAATCATCCAATAACATGAATCATTTGGATGAAGCAACATGAAGAGTAATGAATAAACAGATTAGACAGAGCTGTCTTTATCAGTCACACGCACAACAACGTACTACACAAAGCATATGTCATGACGTGATTAAAAAGATCCAAAAATACAAACTCAGCGCTGCAAAAACCTAGTTTAGTAAACAGGGTTCATCCACAGCTTTTAGTTTCCGCTGGCAGTGACCTCGATTGTGTCCCCCCCGCCCCCACAGAATTAAATTCTTGTCCCATGGTGCTACAAACGTCTCTATATTTACACCCCAAAAGTCAGTCCTTATTCTGGATGAAAGATGAGGATGAAAGGCGTGCTTCCTGATGTGATCTCTGTGCAGTCTTTATTTCAGGAATGTCTCCTGGATCCAAAGTAACAAGCAACCTGCAACATATAAAAGACCACTATTAATTGCCCTTGACTGTTAACAGTAGTTTAGTTTAGAGATGGCAACTAAAATTTGTTGTAAACACATCATGGTGCTTTAAAATTTCAATGCTGGTTTTTTTTTTTATTATCTGTTGCCAAGAGACAATGAACACTCAAGAAGGGAAAAAAGGGAAAGAGAAAAAAGTAAGCGCTAAAAATAAATCCAGATGTCACAGCAAAGCCATGGCTTATGTAAGAGCTGCAGAAATGAATTATTAGATGCGTGTAGAAGAGGGTGTGAGGGCAGTATTGAGTTAATGACAAAGATGGCTCAGTCAAGGCTCACTGGTACTGACCTTTGCATTCATATCAACTGCACAGCTCCACTTGACACAAGTGGAGCTATAGTTCGATAACGCATTAGGTGCTGAGAGCCCTCTTCGAGATCCACGACATACTCTCTGATAGAAGAGACACAGTGGAGATTTTATCAGTTTAGTATCTATACAGAAAAGGGTTAGCGAATGCAAGAAGGCAACACTGCCACCTACTGGATGCCTAAATAATAGCACATCCAGAGAAATATTGACAAACAAACCTCTGATCCTCCGTTTCAGGCTCTACCAGGATGTTTTCCTGTCTCTCTTTCACTCGCAGAAACACAAAGGAGTCCAGGCAGGGCTCAGGCACTAACATTAGGATACACAGTGGTGAAACCAGTGCAATGGTCAGTGAAAATGTCACAGCAAATGTCACCATCTGTCTGCATGGGCTAACAGTATCACCATTTTAGACACAGAATGACACCTTACCTGCTTTGAGCATATCCATAGTCTGTACATTGGCTGGCATGCGCTTCAGTGCTACAGCCTTCAGGTAGCTTTCTGTGTTGGCATAATACCTGCAAGCCAGATGTGTTGGCATGTGATTTAAAAAAAAAATTCCCAAGTGTTGCAAGAACCGCAGCGATTTAAACGACTTTATTCCAGTACACTCACTCTTTGGCAAAAGCAAACTCCTCAGGCGACAGCAGAGATGGCTCGCCCTCACCCCGAGACTTCTCTCTCTCCAAGACATGTGGGAAATACTTTTCAATCTAGACATGAACAGCACAAAAGGTCAGGCAGATGTCACCAACTGCCACAGAGTGAGAGAAAACTCAGTTTTGTGGCGCCGACCCAACCGACCTTCTGCAGACGAGAGCGCAGGTAGCTGCTGAGAACGTAGCGGATCCTGTCTATTTCCATGCGATGGATGCTGGCCTTTGCATCGCCTTTCTTCACCCGCTGCAAGTTGGACTCCTGTTGGTGACAAAACTGTCAGAAATTAAAGGGTCCTTTTATTCAGGGCTACTCAGAATGACCAGCCCTGGGATATGTTTGAATATCACAGTTTTAATACCATCCTAATCATCTGAACTGAATGAATCTCCACAGCTGGATGTATAGTAATGTAATCAAGGTTCTACTGACAGGCAGCAGCTTTAGATAGTAGTTTGTCACAGAGAAAACCATGTTACCCTGAATTGTTTGAGATTTTATTTTGAAACCACCACATTACACATTTGACATTACCATCAAATTCTTGATATCAATTGCAGGGCTTCCTATAGATCAATTTATCCATACTAATAAAACTAAATAGTAAGAAAACCAGCAATGAAGTGCTGATCTGTCAGGTGACAGAAGAAATTAAAACATTTTTGTAATAATTCAAGTAAACGAACAAAAAGAAGAAATCTCAGATATTCCTGAATTCAACTTCTATATTTTGAACATTTTATGATGTTTTTTGACCCACTGAAAAGGAAATTACTTTCTTTAAACTCCAACTGAAAAATAAATTAATTTGTGTGTATAAAGTGGCATTTTGAGCTCTAGTGAATTGTAATGGGTATTTTTCTACACTCTTTTGCTTTTTATGGGTTAAAAAAGCATAAATTACAGTTTAGAAGAGGTGGAATGCACCTATTTTTGTTTGTTAAGCCGCTTAACATTGACCTATGAATCATCCGAGCACGAAAAGGCACCGAATTCGAAGGAAAAGCCAGTAACGCGTCTGCAAAAACAACAGACAACTTAGCAAAGAAGCTATTTTAATGTGCTACTTTAGGCACTTTGCTATTGGGAGCCTGTAGCAAAAAACACATTCTTTCTTTTCACTCCTTTAGTTGAATCTATTAAAAATGCCAAAGGGAAAAAAAAAAACATTTTACACGTATGAAATTATATTTCTACACCAACAAGATGATTCTCACTGAGAATCAGCTTGTTATATCTCAGCATGTGTGCCATTAAATAAAATTGTGCAAACTAGACAAGTTTTTTTTCCAAACAAGTCATTTTTCAGCATGGCAATGATCCCTAACACACTGCCAATGCAGTAAAAGCATACCTGGATGGGAAAAAAAACAAAAAAAAAAAACCCCAAACATTTAAAAAAAAACAAAAAAAAAACCCACACAGCGGAACACTATCAGTCATGGATTGGCCTCGACATCACTGAAGCAGTGTGGGATCATCTTGATAGAGAACAGAACAAAAGGCAGCCGACATCAAAGAGCTTTTAATGTATTTTAAGAAGTCTGGAGAACAATTCCTGAAGATTACTTAAAGAAATTACAAGAAAGCTTGCCCGAGAGAGTTCGGGCTGTGTATAACATAAAGGTGGTCATACGGAATATGGACTTTCAAGCTCATTAGAATTGTACCAACTTTGCTTTTGCCTTACATTCTGCATGTCAATTTCACTACATCATAGCAAAACATAAAAAAGTGAGAGGTGGCTCGAGACTTTTGCACAGTACTGAATATAGTTTCCCCTCTGCTGCATTTGAATCAGTCATGCACATTGTCATAGGTTGCAGTCCTTCGCGTTTCAGTTGCTGTTTTGCAATTCAGAAACTCAACTATAACCATGCATGCCACTGAACATTAGAAACAACCCACAGCAGGAGGTATTCCCCGGGTAGTTTACCATATGAGTCAGCTGCTCCATCACACACTCCACCACCTCTGATTTGTTCTCCAGCAGCTCCGGTGAGAACTTCTCATTTAGCCAAGCCTGTGGGCGACACACACGGACACAACAGTGAAGACGGTGCTGAATATCTAATAGAGGTGAAGAGTCTGCACGTCAGGGGAATAATCTGGCCTACTTCTTCCAGTTTAGCGATCAGCTCGGCCGGGGTCATAACATCCTCCTGGGTGTCATCCTGGTTGAAGTCGCTGCCGTCGTCAGACAAAGCGTCCGACATGGTTTTTAGTAAAAATACAAAGTTTCACCAAAACGCAGAATATCTGTTGAATTAAAAATAAATTTATAATAAAAATAGAGCAATTAAAACTGAATAATATGAGAGAAAATGTACTAATGCGACTACTACTGTCACAGCAGCCACAAGTTAGCGGAAAAACTCGTTGTTTATTCGCGCCACTGGGATTCTTCTCGCGAGATTTACAATGTGCTCGTTTCCCCGAGTTTAGCTTGTCAGGCAAGCCTTCTCGTAGGCTTAGTATAGTTTTATTAATAATTGGACGGAGCATTCAATAAAAGACAGTAAATTCGTTTCTAGACATTCAGGAAGAATATTGATCGGGGATGTTGAGGATTTTCTGCTACAGGAGCGCAAACTTTAAAAGTTCAATGAGCCCGGTTTTTCCTGAAATGCAACACTGAGGGAATCTTCTCTCCATAACACGTGCTGTGAATACAAACAATACACTCAAAATATTGTATGTTGCTGAAGATTGTCGTAAGTAATGCTAGAGTGGTATAAAGTGGTGGGAGAAGCATTTCTATGGTGTTTTCACGGATCATAATTAGTAGTTATGTTATTGTGTTTATATTGCGAGAGATACCTTTATATATATATATGTATTATATATTTTATATATTTAAAGATAATTACTGCTAATACTATCAAATATATTACACAAGCATTAATTATTATCTAGAAA